AATAAAGTGGTAAGCAGTACACAGGTGCTATTTTATCACAGATAACCCATGAGGAGAAACAGAGGTCAGGAGAACTTTAAAAGGCAGATATGACTTACTCTGACTTTAATTTGCCTCCAAAAACATGGTCACTGACCCTTTAAATCACAAGCCAATTACAAGCATTGTAGTGCCATTACTAATTACATGCTGRGAGTGTAAATTTAAAATGGCAATTTCAATTTTCAGTTCATTGGGACAATGCAGGAAAATGAAATTGCATGCTAATTAGTTCWTGTGTATCAGACACCTGAAAGATTAGAGAAAAAAAAAACTTCTGCACTCATTACAAGTGAGYTATAAGCAGAGCACTCAAACCTTTTATTTGCCAGGCTGCATATAAAKAAAGAAATTAAATGACAAAGAAAATTGATAATGATGGAACAAGGCAAAAATAGCTACAGGCTTGTACATAATCATACTTTGAGGGACTTTTGCCCATTATACACGGCTTCCTTTAGAATTTATCTAACTTTAGAAACTACAAGAGGGGAACARGCGATTGCTTCAGGTTCACTGCGTTAAATGCTAATTTACATGCCCTAAAAATGGATTTTCTGGTTTCATAACTTTCTGCTTAATCTCTGCCAAACAATCACACCGTTTTTTTGGTGCCTTCTTCTGGACCAGCTGCTTCATCATTTGGAGCAACATGGAAAAGGTTCCAGGTACAGACTGCTCTCAGTAGGGGCTGGGAAGAAACTGGTGACACCATGAGTAAAAACTCAAGTGGAGGGTTTGAAATATTTTCTCCCAAAGAGCAAAGGAAGGCAGCCAGGAATTTAGCCCAATTCTGACTTTTTGTAACCTTCTACAAACATTTGAGAAGTGTCTTCCTGGCCAATTTGTGAAGTGTCTCCCAGAACCTGTGCAAAAATGAGACATGGTATTTGTACTTCTCCTCTCAGAAGAAACTGTTCACCCTTAAAAGGGTTGGGCAGTGTTTGTTTCTTAAAGCTCATTTCATGCTTGAAGAAGAAGACAGTGCTATGCATAAAGTGAATCTGTGGATGTCTGTACCTTGCCAAATCTAAAAAAGAGTTTCCGCGGAACACTAAAAAGCACTTTTTCCCTGAAAGTGTCCTCAGATTTTGTGGTCCCAGTTGTTTCAAAGAAACTGAAATGGAAAGAAATAAATTCATTCGAAACTTCTGCTCTTAAATGACAAGGGATATTTTTAATTTTGTTCTGAGATTAAAAAAAAAAGGAGGATAAAAAAAGAAAAGTATTTGGCAAGTTTTGTGAAAATGATAGGCTGAAMTTTATTTTAGAAGAAAAATGAGAAGAAAAAGAAAGGAATGTTTAAAACACATTAATCATATGACCAAAGCTTCTGAAAAAATCCTTACACATCATGGTTGTCAAAATTAAGGAATAATCTGTATGGGATGGGAATTACCTTCAAAAAGCAAAAAAATAAAAAAGAAAAAAAAAAGCAACAAATTATTCAGACCTGATGCCATGGGCTGAGATTTTAGACATGTTTTAACCCCTGCCCCAAGATTCTTTGCAGGTAAGAGCAAAGGAAAAGCTTTCCAGGGAGCAAAGTCCAAGGGAGTCTGGCAGCTGCCCCCACGGTGCCAAACACAAATGATCAGACCATAAAAAAAATCCCTGTCCAGTTCATCTCCTGGAAAAGACATGCCTAGGGGGCTGCTGCTAAATGARTTTGAAATTTTTCTCCAGCTCATTTAATAAAGCCCACAGTCTAACACAGCCCAAAAGCTRCCATAATGCTGACTTTTTCATTATCCATTAAAGTTACATTAGGTTTCTACTCCCATGGAAGTAATTCTGCTCAGGTCCCTCTGYGTGATCCTTTCCAGTTCTTTTCAATGTATAAATTTTACAGACTTCCTAACCCCTCTGATCTTTATGGACGAAAACTGAAATACGACACATTGAGGGCCCTTTGCGCTCTCKCTCTGCAATAAATAACAAACAGTAACACCAGGTTTTTAGTTTTTCAGAGCTGACAAAATCCAGCACTCCCACTGCACCAGTTTCAGAAAACTTCATCAAACAGGGCTTTGTGTCTGCTCTCCACAAAAGAAAAATGAGCAGGTGGTCCTGTGTGCTTTCACCCCAGTTATCTGGGAGCCTGTCAGAAAAAAAATCACAAATGGTAGGGCAAAAACTTGATTATKAAAAAAATATTAATACCAAGGTAGCTTCAAGAACAGTGTGCCTGATACAGCTTGAGGGCATTATGGACTGTTCAACWTAGTGCTTTCCAGATAAAATGCTCAAACATCACATTTTATTCAATCCTGCTGTGGGCTCACTGGAAGGGAAACATCCTAATCACATATTGACCGTGATTAGTGCAGAAGGTTTTTCCCATAATTATCGAACTCACTAACCTTTATTAACCAACGGCTCAAATTGCCAAAGCTGAGCCCAGTTCATATATCACGAAAAAGAAAACCTCATCCAAGCAAAGAGCTCCAGCAGTCACTAGATAGTCATTACCTTCATTAAAACACCGCTAAAAGGACTTCACATTCACCGCTTCATGGCTTTCACTGAAGTCGTTTGTTGGGCACGGAGAAATGCAGTTCACAGTGAGGGCACTGCCATTTGAATCACTCTGACAATAACATCTTTGAGTGGGGTGAGAAAATGTGTATTTTCAGCCCTATGGATACGGCTGAGCTAACAGCTGTTCCAATCTTAATTAAAACAGTCCTCGTTACTTCCAGCRATACTTAACCTGWGCRCCCAGAGCAGCTCAGCAAAGAGGARCAGCTCTTCCAGCAGGCTCTGSTACAGCCAAAAAACCACATTTAAAGCACTCTTAGCATGTGTCAAGGTATCTCTACCAAGAGATGCTGCTGTGATATATTTCTAAGGACCAAACCACCACATTTGTGGAATTTCCTTGAAGGGAGCCTGCATAAATCTGCTTCCACGGTTGGGAGCCACAATGAAACACATGCACACGTCTTTTTTACATGAAAAACAACTTTTTCATTTGTAAAGTCAAGATTATCACTACTTTGCAACTAAATAATCCCTTTTAGCCTCAGCTACGTCTCTGACAGAGAATAAGAATCTAGCTATTCGTTAACCACTTGTCTTCATCAGTTTCTTAAGTGACACTGGCAATTGAATCAAGGATATTTTTTTTTTTTTTCCTCTCCGGCTCCATCTGTTACCTGAATCCATGGCCATCTGTCATTTTCTGCAGCAGTCCAGGCATTCACAAGACCCTTCTTATTAAGTCGTGCATAGTACGGGTACCACTTCTGGAGTCCAAAAAGAGCTCGGTGAGTGGACGACGCCGTAATTTGTTGGTTTGACACAATCCCTCCTTCTATCCCTAGYGGGCCAGAGCATCCTGCAAATGAGGAAAAAAAAATGGAATTCAACTGAAATTATCAACTKTTCTGAGTCCCAAGTGGATGTAATTACAATAGCGTACAAATAGATCCAAAATGTTGTGCTGAATACAGTTTAAAAGAAATTTAAAGTACTTGACTAAAGCACCTTTTTTTTTTTTTTCTGTAGAAATTTAAAAAAACAAAAAGCAAACCAAAAGTACTGTTTGCAAGTAACTATCCTCATTATTAAAATTAATGAAATAGATTAAACTTTCAATTTCTTTTAGTTTGTTCTAGGAAAAGACTTGTGAGTTTTGATTTTATGGACACAATGGAAGGAAACAATCCTCAGATTCAAATATTGAAATGATTGCTAAAAGTAAATTAAAAATTCTGTAATTACTGAGAAGTTCATATTGTTCTTGCCTCAAAGTTCAGCATTTAGCCAGTACACTACAAATTGTTATTGCAGTAATCTTTAGAAATAGGAAAATAGACACAGATTATCATTCAGAAACATTAAAAATATTTAAAGGTTCATACATTTAATCAGCAAGCCACAAAGTAGGTATTTAACTGAAATGCTTCAGAGTTCAAGATTTTATGTATGGTATTCATCATTAATTTATTCACCAGAAATACTTGTAGATGTAATCTTTTTTAAAATCAAGATATTTCTGCATACATTGGTTTTTTTGAAGCCATTTGGGCATGGGAACAAAAGCATATTAGCCACTGAGAGCAATCCAAACTGAGAAAATTATTAAATTCATTCTATACAAACAATTGGCAGTCTATTCAACACCCCCACCCAAGTGTGTGAAGTTGTCCTTTCCTCAGTTCSGATGCAGAATAWAAAGAGAAGGTAATCACAAGAATTWTTGTGGCATTCAGTGTTTATTGTCCAGAAATTCTTCTGATTTGCAKGTCAGCTGCACTTTGGCAATTTTAAACTCCACAGGACAGATGTTTACTTACATTTCAGGTTTCCTCAGAAACCTGGCAGTGTTTCACCTCAAGCAGTAACCAAAAAAGAACTCTGAAACTCTGAAATCTTTACACTGCATGGGCAGAAAGTCACAAATAATTTAATTCTTCATTAATTTAAAGGCACAGAGAAGAAAAAGTGACCAGTGCAATTTGCTCCTCTCAGCCAGGAAATGGTGCAGGGAATCACTAGCTCCACAATCCCCAGGTATGGAGTGTCACTGGTGATGGAGAAAAATATAAACTGAAATGAAGTTTTAAGCTGATCATGGAGGAAGTGTGATGGATAGGCACACGTTTGTGCTCTGAAAAGGTAAAACAAAGCTCCCATGAAGGTGGGGTTCAGGGAGTGTTCCTCCCTTAAGAGAAAACCTGGCCTGAATTTCCAGGATAAATAAAATAAATAAAATAAAATAAATTCAGTAAAATGCTGTCCCCACTCAAATTAATGACTGAGCCGCACCACGTAATGACTTCACACAGGTTTTCACCAACCCACAAAGCTCATCTAGAACCTAAAGCCCTCGTGCTACTTCTMTTTTCAGCCAAGAATGAAAGCTTTGTGTTCATCACTTAAAACTGCACAAAACACAAAAAAAAAAAATGTGGCTCTTTCCCGTCGCCGTGATGGGTGAGAGGAAACGTTAGAAGAAAAACTCTTTGTCACCACCACAGGCAGGCACAATATAGAATACACTCAGAAAACCCACGTATTCTGGAAAAATGTCATTCCTCATTGTGTTTTCATCAAGTGTTACTCAAGGATTGAAAGGCCTATTCAAATCTTCGCAGTGTCTGAAGTATTTTCATCGAAGAAGAATCAAATCCTTTGGTGTGTAAACTGCTGTATCCGCTTGTAAGGAAGAGGTAAATGGCTCTTCTCTCCTAAGAAATGTAATTGTTCTCAAAAGTTTCTTATATTTAATCATTAAAAAAAAAAAANGTGGATGTAAAACTCACCAACACACCCATACCTACAGGGCATACGTATGAAATTAACCAACTTTAACAGCTGCAATCATGGACTGAAAATTGCTTAAAAATAGAGATGTGAGAAAACAGAAGAGAAGTTTCTGAAGGGAGAGTAAAAGGGACACGTTGGAGCCATGTTAGTTGATTTTAGGCATGTCTGTCGGTGCATCTCCTGTTTGAGATGCATTAAATGCTRTTTGAAATATGTGTGAAATCCTTACAAGATGAAGTTGAATTTTCCYTTCTAACTTGAAGGCAATTTCCTTTCTAGGTTTAATTACCAAGCACAGCACTTAACTCTTATTTTGTCAGCTATGACCGTATACCCTCAGCAGTGTTTATCTTCCTTGGCTTTCGGAGGATTATTCCTGAAATCCAAAGAAAATTGCTACCTTCAGGGAAGAGGTACTTTATTGTACAAGCTCCTTATTTTCTTTGCAGTTCCAGTCATGGTTTTGTCATGTTTGTAATTTTTTTCAATCTGAGCTAAACACAAAATTTACCACTCCTTGAAGTTAAAATTACCAGGCTAGAGATACTTTCTACTTCAGACATAACAACATGAGATGTGCAGAAATCATGAGATTGGATAATAGTTTCTAAAAAAATTATATTTCTTAAATTATCATAACATTCTGCTGTTTTTTTATTTTTATTTTTATTTTTATTTTTATTTTTATTTTTATTTTTATTTTTATTTTTATTTTTATTTTTATTTTTATTTTTATTTCTTGAACAGCCAAGACTTCAGCATAAGTTTCATTGGGGTACTGTGAGTGAGGTCCTTCCACTGTTAAGTCTGTCATTTTACTCACCCTTGAGATATTTATTTTAATCAGACATAGTTCTCTACAAGAAAAACCTTTCAATCACTTCCTTTTATCAGTCAGAATCAAACATTGAACACTTCTTCCAAAACCTCCACTAGATTGGCAAGTCACTCTTTTTTCTTATGAAAGCTCCAATGTGGCTATTACTCTCTAAATCCACAAGAAATTTCCTTTTCCTGAAGACTCTCAGCTGAATGACCCATCTCTGGTTCCATTAAATATGTTTTATCACTAAAAGACTGGTTACAGACCAGTTTATGCCCACTATATTAAATTTCAGACAGAAAAAAATACTTTTCTTCAAGTTACAAATTATTTTGTTGGGTGTTTAAGAGCTGTGAGACACCATTGACTACTAACAATGAAAACAGGCAATAAGCTTTTTCAGATTTTTTTTTTAATAAGATGCGTATTTTCCAGAACAAGTGCAAGATGTATTATATTTAATTATTATATTTCTATCAAATCCATGTTTTTTTTAACAGAAATCATGACAGCTTGGGAAATAATATCACTGCAGTGTCTGTGTGCAATTCAGACTGGTCAATGTCAGTCATTAAATTAAAAAAAAAAAAGAAGAATTATTAGTTAATGCAGAACTTAGGATATAACAATGTGCTTGATGCAAAAAAGTGAAAAAAATTAAAAAACAATTAAAAAGTTGCTTGATACAGATTCACAAGGCAGATTTTGTCATCTGGAGCTGTTATTTCAGTTTCATTAAAGAGCAAGATACTACATCAAGTAGCATTTAATCTTAATTTAATTTAATCTTACAGTGACAAYTATTGGTATGCACTAAATAAAACTAAATGCTTAAAGTATTGCTTCTCTTTTTCTCATCAAACACAGACTTATGCTCATGAAACTTCACTATCAATGGAGATAATAATGCCAAAGGATACCAGGAACCAYGTGAATGGATCCAGGGAAGGATGGGGAGAAACAGCAGCAAAAGAAAAGTGAAATTTTGAGTTCTCCTAAGAATCTCCACCGCACGAAGGCAACAGTTATGCACCTGCACTGACATTTAAATTAGATCTAGACACATTACCTACCATTCTGCACAACAAACCAACTGGTTTTCAGTCCAGATTTCGCTTGCAGACTAAGGTTTTGGTATAAAAGATCTCCCCAGAAAGAATATGAGTTCTGTGCTTCCACCCTTATCTCTGGAAACAAAAAAATCCCACGGCTGAACAATAATATCAGAGCAAAATGAAGTAGAAGAAGAAGTAGAAGTGGTTTACATTGATATCTCCTCAAAAAAAAATCAAAATAGGGAAAAAGTAGCTGATTCTTGGTCTTTATAGTGAAGAGACAAACTATTTTAACATAAAGAGTTACTACAGCAAGAGATAATAAGCAGAAAGCACTGGGTAAATATATTACTTGAGCGTATTTAATTTGAACTTTTACGTTTATGTCAGTCCACAAATTAGGCAAAACTTCCAAATGGTTTAAAAATTGCTTACAAATGTGAGGATTATGCCTCTGCAAATAGAATGAAAAGATTTCTTGTTATTGGTGATGGAACAYGCCTGACTTTCCCCCATGAATATATATCTTTCATTCCCTCTCTCGGTCTGCCTCTAGCTAACGTCACCAAAACAAACAGATGCAAAATTGAAGGCAGGGAGAAAACAAATCTGCTGTAGACATCTGCAATCCTTTCTCCCTCCAAGCACCTCGTTTTCTGGAATGAGATTACYCTGGCTGTGCTTAGCAGGGCCTGGTAATGGTGCTGAACACGAGCCCTGACAATGGGATTACGGATGACCTCTGGTGCTGCAGTAATTCACGCTGCTCCCCACCGGGCTCTGATTCCTTCTTCTAATTCCTCTTCCCACCAGACATCCTTGCCCAGTTTGTTCTGCCAAGGACAGCTCTTCCAAGAAAACAGCATGTCTGATTTTTAGGAGCTTGTTAGATGGCCATTTAAGGGTCTCTTAACAAAGTGTAATGCCCACCCATGTGCAATGTGATATTTTTGCAGGGCCTGCTTTTCCACAACCCTTATATGATATTGCTAAAATCCTCTTTATTAATGCCAYCTTTAGTTCTACCCATTGTAAACCCTAAAGTGTTTTTGCAGAGAAGAAATTGGAGAAATATCTTCAATTCTTTCTACAGATCCTCTTTTCTTACACTCATTCATCAATCATTCACTTCTGATCACTGTCTAAAACACAACTAATTGATTGTCAACAGACCAAGCATTGTTATTG